GTAAGTAAAATTATTACGTAGAAAAAAAAGTTTTTATTTCATGCTTTTTGTATAGGTAATACAGGGTGTTATGTAATTAATTTAATATTTTAAAATACTGACATAAGGTGTAACGGAAAATTTTTTGAAAAAATATTTTTGGAGTGCCTATAAAACATCCTCTTCACGTACGCTGTGAAAAGATGCTTCTATATCGGATTTTAAAAGGAAGATATTTCAATTTTTACAGAAAAAAAAAAATAACTAATTGAACTAACTTTTTTTTCTTCATTCTATTAATGCTTTCTGTCTGGGTACTATTATTTTAAGTAAGGCTAACTTTATTTTGCAATAAAAAATATTGTTTTTTTAGCTGCTAGACTTCCACCACTTCAATTTCATTTAAGCCCAACACCTGTAGGTAATACTCTATACTTTTTTGTAACTAATTCTATTACGTTACTAATACTTTTTTCTATTCTTTCTAGTAAATTATATGCCGAGTAAGTAGTAATTTTTTGTTGAGAAACATATTTTTCTACAAAAGTTGGGCAACTTATGACCTCATTTTGTTTATATAGTTTTCGGAGACAATTAAACAGTATTTTGTTATGAGAACATAGATAATATAATAAATATACTGTTCCAGACTTTTTCAAACATTTTCTGAAATATCTGTGTTTTCTAAATTTGAATGCAAGTGACGAGTATACCAGGGTACTAATTAAATACATAATTTATTGGAAAATATAAGATTTATTGCAACTTTGAGCATATTATACATTAAATATCTTAAAATCAAATAATACCACACATCAGTGCGGCTGGTGGATTTTGGGTATACCGATATCTCAATTATTAGAAATGGGACCCACACCAACTTTATATGAGTTTATAATGACATTAAATAAACAAGTTCTGCGCAAGCAGAATTTAAATTAAAGTTTTCGAAAAAAAGATAACCGAAACATCGAACATGGAACTGACGACACGGTACTGATGAATGGGATACAAATTTGAGATTATAATTCGGAATTAAGTATTTTACTCATATGTTTTATTAGTGGATGCTACTTATCAACAAATCACATATTATCACATATTATATTATATTATATATAAGGCTATAATAGCCTTATATAAATTACAATGAAATATATATACGTAAGAAAATACTCACCACAGTACTGAAATTTTGACTGGAACTATACGTGCATTCACCACAACTTCGCCGCTTGCATTGTTTTCAAGATGACTGTCGTTCAAAGGGCGGGCTCTGTAGGTAATTTTTTACCAACACTTGAGTTAAAACGAGGACTTGACGTTTAAACTTCAATATTTCGCAGGAATTTTGAATTTTAACATTGGACACAGAACTGACGGGTAAAAGTGGGTACAAAGATTATCAATTTTTCAAAAATTGCTATTATTCGAATCTATGATAAAATATGAAAAATACATTATTTAATGTTTTATAGTTTGTAGTGATGTTGAAAAATAAATTGAATATATTTTAAAATAAAACCACTCAAATATTTGATTCAGGAGTTGTGACACGCCAAGGTACTGATGTTTTGAATATTTATTATGTTTTTCTACAAAAAATACATTAAAATTGGGTGGACAAGTTAAAAAAAACTGGATCTTTTGTAATATACTAAAATATTTACAAAAAATATTAAAATACCCACTCTATTGACTGATGACATCAAGTTGTCCAACTTTTGTAGAATCACTCATATATATTACGCCAAATCGACCACTTATGATTTGGCTGATGAAAAAAAAAATTAAGTCTTGTTAGAGGGCTAAAAACCTTTAGTCAAATCGAAAGGGTTAGGGTTATAAAGTAATCGATTTTACATGTAACAACCCATATTTTATTTTTTTTTATAATTATCTATAGATGTACCAGACATGCAAACAGTCGATGGTGAACCTCCACAAGAAGGTATTTTTTTTGGTTTAAATTTTGTTTAAATGTTATGTAATACAACATAATTTTAGAAAGTTTGGATCTGTCAACAACAAATATTCCTTCTTACATGACGTTGTTATCAAGATTTGACTGGATGAAAGGTATTTTAAGTGATCTGGGAATTCTAACTACCCCATCAGGTAACTTTGACGACATATTTTAGTATTTTGGTTATTTTCGAAATGTTTTAGGACCTTTGGATTTGGGAACTCAAAATGGCGTGTCTGAAAGTCCAGAGTGTAAAGTAAATAACTCCACTGGAAACTGCAAACTTCTCAATGATTGCACTGATATGGATGATAAGTTAACAGACTTAACCAAGTTCCAGGAATATTCCTGCAAAGTTGAAACCTATACTGGAGTATGCTGTTTGAAACCTATAATTCTAGGCTAAACATATCAATAAAAAAAAACATTATAAAATAAATTATATTCAATAAAAATTACAAAAAAGAAGGAGGGTTATCCTGACAACTTTTATTCGCACATTTACCCTCACACGACTTTGTACATTGGGTTCTCATAGATTTTATTTCCTTAATTAAGTTATTTACCTAAAAATGTATTTTTATAAATTTACACATTTTATGTAAAGTCTATTCAAATCCAAGCTGGACTAAACAAAAACGCCCAGACGCGTGATAACTCGTTTCTATTGGTCGATTCTGATGGTGTGACTCGGATTGTGAGCTCTTATTGGTCGATATGGAGGATTGTGTATACATTTAGTCCAGCATGGATTTGAATAGACTTTAGGTACCTACTTCCATTGCAACGTCCCTATCTATACCATTGGCATGAGACCCGAGAATAACACCACTTTTATCGCTTAGTTGATCCCATAAATTTTTCAAAACTTCAATACACTTACACTGAAAAAAAAAATAATGCGGCGAATCCACCATTTTTATAAAAAATTGCTTACATTTTTATCAGCGACACTTTTTTTTTTGGGAATTTGTTCTGTCAAAAATCAATATAATTTAAAAACTACCATTAATTTTTCCAAAATCTTACCTTTATTAAAAGAATACACCAACGAACCAATGTTGTCCTTCAAAGTCTTGCTGTGATTGGATGAGGGGTCTTTCAACAGTTGCTTTTCTAAAAATAATTACTAATTTATTTTTTTGTGACTAAACTTAATATCTACCTATAATAATCACAGACTCGCACAAAAAACACCCGACAACACCCTGAACGTATTTCTTAGCTAACTCCCGCTCGTCTAGAAAAAATATTCAGTTTTGTCATGGTACGTAATTATATATTGTATGTATATATTATTTCAGACACCAAATTACCTTGTATTTTTTGTTGCTTGTTTGTCTTTTTCTTTGGTGGCCTTACTTCTTCTTCAGAAGGAATTCTTTCTTCTTTATCATCACAATTACAACACAAAATTTTCTCGTGTTCTGTTTCTTCTATTTGTTCAACACCTGCATGATCGTCTTCTGAACTTTCTTCACTAGATTTTTCATCTGTAACTTTATTTTCATCGCAAGCAGAGTTTTCTTCAGGTGTTTCTTCCTTATTATTACAAGCATTTTCTTCACTGATTACTATATCATCTGTAATTTCTTCGTCGTCATCACCGCAAAGACAGTCGTCTGCTTCACATAATTTTTCTTCTGTAACCTCATCATTCTCTTGTATTTCTTCAGCATCATCATTACATATACAACCATCATCATTTTCTTCTATATCTTCTTCCATTACCTCTTGTTTTTGTTCGTCATCATCATCATTACATTCACAATCATCATTTTCGTCTATATTTTCTACCATAACCTCTTGATTTTGTTCGTCATCATCATCATTACATATACAACCATCATCATTTTCTTCTATCTCTTCTTCCATAACCTCTTGTTTTTGTTCGTCATCATCATCATTACATTCACAATCATCATTTTCTTCTATATTTTCTATCGTTACCTCTTGATTTTGTTCATCACAATCATCATTATCACATCCACAACCATCATTTTCTTCCATTACCTCTTGTATTTGTTCATCTTCATCATCTTCCTTACATTCACAACCATCTTCCAATATTTTTTCCAGGAAATCCAGTTCTTCAAAAAATTCTTCACTAGCCATTTCCAGTAAATCATTAACCTCTTTTGTATTGGTATCTAAAACATTTAAATCTATTTTTTCACTAAAACCATGCTCATGCTTACCTTCCAAGACGATTTCAGGTTGTTCTTCTTTTGTCGAACTTTTGGAACAAGCTGCACGACATTTTGGTTGGCAAGCCTCCACCGAAATTTTTTGTTCAAGTTCCTTTGAAGTTGAAGAGTCTACAAAGAAGTGTTGCTTTTATTAATTTTAAATAAAACATGTTTAAATTTAATAGGTTGGCATACCTGTGTCGGTGTATAGGACATCGGCCATTTCTTGAGAAACTAAAAATGATGTATAGTATGTTTATGATTTTGTTTTGGTTATGAAGTTGGTACCTTTTCCGCAGCATTGTTTACATAGGGTGTACATTTGTTTAGACATTTTGGAATCTTTATCTGAAATGATCAAGCGTTGGAAATATATTTTGTTACGTATTTTTTTACATTACCCTCAATTTCATATGCATTGGGAGATGTCTTACCAGTATCATCTAATATAGAGCAAAGGGCTGGAAATTGATACAAAAATAGTTTATGGATAGTTTTCTGTAGAGTAACGCATATATTAATTCCTTACCCTTATTCCCACAAACAGCACACATAAGTTCAAACTCTTTCGCTGATATTGGAGCTAAAAAAAATGTTGTATGATCTATTGGTTATACAACTTGTATAATTACCTTCTGAGCTTGGTTCACTTTCGTGTAGTAATTCTAGAAGGCATGTCTCGCATTTGCAAACTTTACAGTCGCATACTGCAAAGAAAATATATTATACATACTATAGTGTCCAAAAACTATCTCTTACAAAGACTGTTTCCTTGGGTTGGCATGTTGGGCGTTGAAGCAGATTTTCTTTTTTCCATCGAATCGCTTTCGTCATCCTCTGGGATAATATTTAAAATGGAACTCATTTTTTTCGTTTGACATAGCCCTCTACATTGCTTCTTGCATTGTTTCAAATGTTGCGCATTTTCTATCTCGTTTTTTATGGACAGGTTGTTCTGCATATCAGTCTTTATGTTTTCTGAGAGGGTTTTGTGACCTACAGATGGTCTACGAGTTTCCATCAGTTGCATTAGTGTTTCCGGATCGGGAGGACCATCAAAATGATCAGCTGTGTTGCGATCTGAAAAGATTGTGTACTTGTACCATGTGTTTTTATATTTTACTGCACTCTACAGAATAAAACTAGAAATGAAATAAATAAACTTTTATTGAACATCTACAATCAGAAAATATTATCGCCAGGAATTGTTATTTTTTTTTCCTTTGCAAGGACAACACGCCAAACTAGAAGGGGCCAAAATCTTCTTCTTATTGCTCTCAGATTTGCTTCTTTCTTCTCTTAACGGCACACATTCTATCTCTGAAGAAGAATTGGAATAAAAACTATGTCTCTTTTGGTATAACGCCTGTAGCATATCGCTTTTGTTTGACTTCAACTCGGCATCGCTCACTGATGTGTTGTTTGGTGCTGTAGCACCTTTGCTAGGTGCTATCATTTCGTCCGAGGACGACTCGTAAAAGTCACCTTTGGAAGCTGCATCCTGAGTTGGCAAGCATTTGCAAGCCACAACCTTTGGTGAAGTGGTGATTTCGATTTCGATTTGCAGTGGTTTTGAGGCGATTCTTGAGTTTGTGGTAGCACTTAGATCTAAAACATAACACATATCACTTCACTGCACTATCACACTTGAGTAGGTATCACTATTAGACTAGTTTTTGGTTTTTGTGACTAGTTGGGAGAAGCAGAACACTTTGTATTGTTTTGGCTCTTCCAATAAAAGAAAGATAACAAGGTTTATTTACCTTCAACATTGCTTTTGCTCCTCCTAGCCTGCTTCACTTTTGACGATTGTTTTTTCACTTTAACATCTAAAATTGAGTGGTTGTTATTAATGTACAATATTTACGGGGACAACCTTTTCGAGATTCCTTCTTTTCGGATGATTTTAATGTTTGTCGTATTATTTCACTGTTCATTTTCTGTGAGGTTCTGCTTCCTTGTTTCGTTACCTTTTTATCTACGAAACTTTTTTTGAGTGGAATATTTTTGTACTTTTCAGCTTCAGGTGGTGAATTCGATGTTTCCTCAGGTTTTGCCAACTTTTTATCTGATAAACCTTTTTTAGGTGGACTGTTTTTGTTATTTGCAAGCTCAGGTGGTGAATTCGATGTTTCCTCAGGTTTTGGTAACTTTTTATCTGAGAAACCTTTTTTAGGTGGACTGTTTTTGTTATTTGCAGGTTCAGATGGTGGATTCGATGGTTCGTCAGGTTTTTTTGTATCTTGATTCAGGCTTTTACGTCTTTTCTTTGAAGCAAGTTTTTCTACAATATAAAATTTATAGGGATATATGTATAATTTAATGAAATAACACCTTTTTTCTTTTCCCCTGTAATATTATTATCTCTTTTTCTTTCAGCATTGTGGTTGAACTCTTTTTCTTCTTTTTTGGGTTCCATACTGTTTCTTCTGGGCATTTTTTTCTCTAAAAACATTTCAACATTTTTTATGGTTATGCGACAAATTTGTACAACCCTTTATATTAACCTTTTTGGGTTTTTGAAGGTCCTCTAGAGATATCCTTGGGTCTTCCCGATCGAGAATCTAGAAAGTTATATATGAGTTTCTGTGTATTTTTTTTGTATGAAGTTCACCTTGTTTTTTATTTTCGTAAAAATTCTCTCGTTTTGGACTTGATTCTCGTTCGTCTTCTGCATTTTGTTTTCGGCTTGATTCTTGTTCTTCTTCTGAATTTTGTTGGTTTAATTCAGGGTCTGTTGAAAAAAATAAAATCAATAGCGTTTTTTAAAATTAGGTCGTTCCATCCAATCCTTCATTTTGCATTTGGTTTTTAGGTATTTTAATATCGCTGTACTAGATTTTATCAATATTACCAGTACGAAAATGAAGAATTTAGCACAACGATAATGGGAAAATTAAACTTACTTTTTTCAATTAAATGTTCAAAATGAAGGAATGGATGACTTTAAGGTGGAATGTTGTATATTAGTTAATTAACATTGCCCAAGCTAGAAATAATATACATTGTAAAATTAAATTTTTCACTGTAAAAAACTACTTACTACTACGCCTACTATCCTGAGAACGTGAACTCCTTATGGCTAAAAATAAATCAGTCAGTATACAATAAAGATAACATGTTGTATTATGTTTTTTCTTACAAGATCTTGAACCACCTAAAACAAATTAAAATGAATAAAATTAAGTAAAATTAATATTTTTTGGTTACGTTTTTTGTTAACTTTCGGTTCGCGTGTGCCCGAACAATAACAAGCACATTTGCATATTTTGTGTTCAGTTTCGTTATTTTGATTTTCTGACTTGCTCAATTCAGTATTAGTATTTTTATTCATTGTATCGTTGTTTTGTTTATTTTGAACCCTTTCATCAACAGGCTTTTTGGAAGCTAAAAAGAATACAGTCAAAAAAATATTGATGAAGTATTACGTGGGTACCAATATTTTCACATTCTTCGTCATCAGTAGACATTCCAATATCATTGGTGTCCATTGTTTTACATCCGCAACATTTGCAGTTATTTATATCCCTTATTTTTTCACGTTGGTTTATTTTCATCCGCAGTACTTTGACACGAGCTATCAGTCACATCTTTCATTTTGTCTAAATCGTTATCCTCCGTCGAACAACTGCTGTCAATTTGATTGGTCGTCACATTTTTATCCAAAGATGGTCTTCGGTTTCTTACCGGCGATTCTACAGGTAGGCAAACATTAATTTTTACGATCAAGTTAAAATACCAGCTTTACCTTCTTCTGTTTCTGTGTTACACCCACAGGAATTCGTTGCTACGCTCAACCTAGAGTTTCTTCTTGTGTTGCTATCGACTACGGCCATCAGCAGGTCTCTGGTTATCGTAATCTAAAAAAATGACTATACCTACGTATCTTATGGTGGTCTAGTGGTGGTACCTTCATTGTCCGACGTATTCTCAATTTTATCAGCAGTTTTCTTCGATTTTTTACCCCCATTCTTCATCTTCTTCCCGTTTTTCTTCGCGGGTTTCGGGGCGTCCAAATTTCTGGTATCGCTGACTCTCCTCTTGTACTTTTTTGGTTTCGAGTTGTTCTCTTCCCGAACCGAGATCTTTCTTCGTTGATTTCTTCTTGGTACCTTTATTGTTACTGTTCGAGGGTTTGTCTTGCAGAACTTCGCAGGTGTCGTCGCTGCAAACGCTCGGTTGTTTCGAGGTTTGAGACGTTATAGAGACGCTCCTTTTATGTTTGTCAGCCGGGTTCGGAGTTTGTTTGAACACGTCGTGTGAGGAAGCAGTAATACCCGTTTTTCTTGGGTTCAGATCTTCGTCACTTACACATCCACATTCAGGGGATCCTTTGTCCAACTTTGTCCTTCTATCGAGTGGACTTTGTTTCCCTTTATTGCGAACCTCTCTATTATTACTTTTGTTTTGATTAACTGGCTCTGGTGTTTGCTCTAATACCCCTTCGTCACCCTGATCGTGACCTTCACCTTGGATTTTGAAGGTATATTTCCTTTATTTTTGTTATTTCTTCTGTCAAAAGAACTTCGTCTGCCAATGGAACTTCTTCCTTCATTGCGATCATCCTTTTTACTTTTTTTTGTATTAACTGGTGGTGGTGTTTGCTCCTCTTCGTCACTCGCATTTTGACATCGGCATTCACCTTTGGATTTCGAAGGTATATCTCCTTTATTTTTATCTAAATATCCTTTATCCGGAGATTTAGCACCTCCTTTATTATTCTTTCTATCAAGAGTTCGTCTGTCCTTGGAACTCCCTTCATTTAGGCCACGTCTTTTGGACTCATTGCTAGGTTTTACAGCTTTGGTTCTTCTTGTTGGAGTTGTCTTACTGTCGACCAACATGTTAGATTTGTCTTTGCACTTTGACGATAGTCCTGTGGGTAAAATAATTATGAAAAGGTTTCGTTAAATGTGCGTTTTTACGTTTTCGGACTTTATTGAAACACAAAATTGATCTTCCTCTTTTGACCACGAAAGAGCTAGGTCCAGACACTGCCTTGATATCCACAATGTAGCTAGATCTGTGTAGAAAAAAATGCATTAATTCTTACGAAACTGCTAATGGATGAAAATGTCATTATTACAAAGGATTTTGACAGTCAAAAATTTGGGAGTTGGGTTGGCAATAAGTTTGTATTAGATGACACAAATACATACTTTTTGGGAAAGAAGTTATTATAAACTTCAAGGTAGTCCATCTTCTTAAATTTCTCGTGGTATTTTACCGCTACGTACGCAGAACCATGTTGTAGCTCCCAACTGCCGCAAACCTTGTCACCACATAACGTATACAGACTGAAAACAACACACATCACTTTTTCTTGAAGAAATTAAAACGATATCTACCCTTCCAGTCCACCAACGATATTCAGGAAATGAGCGATGTAATTCAAAATTATTTGCCACTTTCCCTCCAAATCTTCTCTGGTGAAAACGAACTTTTTACCAGCTTGTCTTTCGCGCCCATTTATAAGCACGAAAATTATTGTTTTGAGGTACTTTTTCGTGAAGTTGAGGAAGTCATGGTCCTTGTAGTCCGAGTCTCCTTGCTGATACAGCGAGTATTCCTTTTTCTTCTCTATTTTCAACTTGCGTTCTGATTCAGTTTCGTACCTGAAATGTGCCTTTATTGTACGTGTTGAGTATCTTTAAGTCTTACTTAATGTTCTCGTTGAAAGTGCCTTCCCTATTTTCCGCCCCAACGTATTTCCCCCCCTCCTCTAGATCGTCTATCAGTTCTACAGGTTCTTTGGTGTCCAGATTGATCAAACTCAGTATCGCCTTGTTAGTGTTCAACTTTTCGGTAATGTGCTCCAGTAAGGTGTCGGTAGTTTTAAACAGTTTGGTGTTTATCGTTAATTTCACGCATTTCAGAGGGTTTTTGTCCTCCCACACGCAAATTCTCTTACATTCGACTTTAAATTTATCCATATTACTTTGAATTTATTGTTGGGATTGAAATATTTACATTTTTAGTTTTTTCGGTACAGCACAAGTGTCATTGTGACAACTAGAGAAAGTAAATAACATTGAGGTTATAAGTATGTAAAGTTATCTAACATTTAATAATTTTTTTAATTGGATAGAAAATATCAAAACTACAGGCTTCCAAAGTTGGTGTTATTTTCCGATATCTAAAATTGACACGATTTTATATTTTGTGAAATATCTCCAAAATTAGTATTGAAGCTATTAAGATTTTTACATTTTCTTAAAGTAGATGAAATTACCTAACATTTGATATAATTATTTTTTTAATTGCTTGAAAATTAACAAAACTATAGCCTTCCAAAGTTGGTGTTATTTTCCGAAATCTAAAATTGACACGATTTTATATTTTGTAAATTTCTCCAAAATTAGTTCTGAAGCTATTAAGATTTTTACATTTTCTTAAAATGGATGAAATTACCTATAATTTAACATAATTATTTTTTAAATTGGGTTAATAATAACAAAATTACAGACTAACAAACACTATAGTGTATATATACACTATAGTGTATAAAGAAAACAGAAGATTGTAATAAAGAAAACAGAAGATTGTAATAAAGAAAACAGAAGATTGTAATATTATTAAAACGTGTTTATTTGATAAAATATATAAAACAAAATACTGTTTATTTAAATAACTGTAAGTGTAGCAACTTTTTCTTTGGCCCAGAATACTTCGTAGCTTTCCACGATAGTGCCCCTAGAAATATTAAAAAAATATTAATAAATGTGCAAATTTTTTTTTTTGTAATTTAGGTACATACCAAACAATATATTCTCCTTGTTCTTTAGGTGCTTTCCATGTTAAAGTTACTTCTTTTTTGGGCTCCTTATCAACATGAGTTATGGCGCTCTAAATGAAACAATGTTTTTGATTTTGATTCAATAAAATTAAGTAAAAAAGAAACACTTACATCTTTATTTCCGTGGCAGTCAATAGTTTGCGAAATCTTAGCATCAACATCTACAAACTGACCCACAGCTTTATTTTGATCTTTTGCTCTGACTTCCACCATGAATCCTTTGAAATCCGGCCCACTCACAACAATTTTAACATCCTCTTCCGCTTTAACTTCGCTATTTGACACCGTAAACTTTTGTTTTAACGGTACGGCTTGAGGTAAACTTTCATTATGGCCTGGCAGCATGGAATCGCAGACTGTAGGGGGCGCCCCTGTGGGAAAAGCCCAAGATATGGCCAAAAGGGTTGCAAACGCGATAAAAATGTGTTTCAGCATTTCGGTAGAGCTGGAATTGAATTAAAACGTGTTTAAATATTGTTTACTGGTTTTGCGCAAGGTTAAAACTAATTGGTCTTTAAATAATGTCTGCAATTATGATTATAGATAATTGTAATTAAATACCACTTAAACATAATAAAGAATCTTACATAAGTATGCTTTCTTATTTCTTGTAGAACTTCGACTAAACAAAAATTTGCAAGCTACCTCTTTTATATACCTATAGGTGACTTTAAGCTGGGTTCAAGTAACTGAAGTGCACTATCTTATGAATATGTATAATAAATAAGAACTTGGGAAAAACCTAAACGTGAATCAACAAAAAGTAAATAAATATTAATAAAGCAAACCTCGCAAACTATTAAATTAAGTTTTTTGCATTTTAAAACACTTATTATTAATAATATACTATTATAATTCCAAGAAAAGTGTATTTACATGTGTTTATATTTAAATTGTTGTAAATATTATTATCGCAATACAGTGATTAATAAATAAAATAATAACATTAGAATTTATGAGGTAAATATTGCAATTATGCTAAATTTTAAACCAAAACAATATTTAATTACCTTAAATAAATTACAGTATTTTACCCCAGGTATACAAAATATTAAACCAATAAAACGTTAAATTCATTTAAATTACGCGCCACTTACATCAAATATTGTGGTTGGCAACACATTGAAAACAAACATCTCCCATTGGTGATTTCCACTCAACGCCTACTAATATTTTCATATTTTACCCGATTGCAGTTGGCAGCACTGCTCACTATTTGTTTATTGACATCCCTGTCACTACAAAACTTTATTTTGACGTAAACAATGTCAAAACCGGCGGATAGCGATCTGTACGGCACGAATTTCAGCACGGAATCGATGGAAAGTGATAGCGGAGAGCATAGGGATACCGAATTTGCAGGACGAAGCCGCCAAGGAGCTGGCCGACGACATTTCCTACAGGCTAAAGCACATCATACAGGACGCTGCGAAGTTCATGAACCACGCGAAACGCGTGAAGTTGATGCAGAGCGACGTGGACTCGGCCCTGAAGTGCAAAAACATAGAGGTACGCGCGATTTGGGGGTTTTTCGTCGACTTAACCTCACTTTTTGTGTTTTAGCCTCAGTATGGTTTTCAGTCGCAAGAACCGCCCGTTTAGGTTTGCCAGCGGTGGCGGGCGGGAGTTGCACTTCATTGAAGAGAAGGAGGTGGATTTGAACGATTTGCTGCAGAATTTGAACCCCAAAGCGCCTCTCGAAGCAGCCCTACGTTCACACTGGCTTGTGATCGATGGGGTGCAGCCTACGATACCCGAAAACCCGCCGCCGGTGGCCAAAAACGTCCAAAAAGTTAGTATACTATATTTTCATGTTGCATTTCAGATTTATTGTCTTTTTTTGTGCAGTTGGAATCAGTTGACCCCATAAACAAAAAACCTATCAGCGAGACGTCTGGGAAGCCCACAACAGGCAAACAAAAGCTGAAAAACGTGGAAACCGTTCAAATAAAACAATTGGCAACTCATGAGTTGTCCGTTGAGCAACAACTGTATTATAAAGAGATAACGGAAGCTTGTGTCGGTTCGGATGAAACGAGGAGAACAGAGGCCTTGCAAAGTTTGGCTTGCGATCCAGGTTTGCACGAAATGTTGCCCAGAATGTGCACTTTTATTATTGAAGGTGTCAGAGTGAATGTAGTGCAAAATAATTTGGCTTTGTTAATTTATCTTATGAGAATGGTTAAAGCTCTGTTAGACAATCAGTCATTATATTTGGAGAAATATGTGAGTACTTTTTTAATTTTTAAAATATCAAATTCCTATTTAATAATTACAAACTTATCTAAGATTGTTAAAGGGGCATTTAAATTAAAAGAATATTGACCACACTTTTTATAATCAGAATCATATTTAGGAATGCTAAACCCAAAATTTTAAAATCACATTTAAAAATGTCAATATCATGTTTAAAAATGTCATCAACACATTTTAGAATCTTAAAATCACATTTTAGAATGTTAAATTTCCATTTAGGTAATAATGAATGCAAGAATCACATTTAGATTCTCAACCACACATTTTAGAATCTCAAAATCACATTTTAGAATGTTAAATTTAAATTAAATAATGACAAACTTATTTGAGAATGTCAAACAGGTATTTAAGAATGTTAAAATCATATTCATTATTGTCAAACTTACTTGAGAAAGTTAAAACATATTTAAAATTTTCAAACACACTTTTAAGAATGTTTAAATCATACTTAATAATAACAAACTTACCTAAAAATAGTATTTTATTTTAAAATGTCAATCATAGAATGTTAAAATCATATTTAAGAATATTGACCACACTTTATATAATATCAGAATCATATTTAGGAATGGCAAACCCAAAATTTTAAAATTTCATTTAAAAATGTCAAAATCTTGTTAAAGAATGTCATCAACACATTTTAGAATGCAAGAATCATATTAAGATTGTTACCCACACATTTTAGAATCACAAAATTACATTTTAGAATGTTAAAGTTCCATTTAATATTGACAAACTTATTTAAGAATGTCGGGGCATTTAGGAATGTTAAAATCATATTTAAGAATATCGACCACGCTTTTTATAATATCAGAATCATATTTAGGAATGGCAAACCCAAAATTTTAAATTTTATTATTTATTTTATTATTATTATTATTATTATTAAAAATGTCAAAATCATGTTAAAAAATGTCAACCACACATTTTAGAATGTTAAAATCATATTTTGAAATGTTAAATTCCCATTTAATATTGACAAATTTATTTAAGAATGTCAAAGGGGCATTTAGGAATGTTAAAATCATATTTAAGAATATTGACCACACTTTTTATAATATCAGAATCATATTTAGGAATGGCAAACGCAAAATTTTAAAATCACATTTAAAAATCATTTTAAAGAATATCATTAACACATTTTAAAATGCAAGAATCATATTTTGGATTGTCAATCACACATTTTGGAATGTTAAAATCACATTTTGGAATGTTAAATTCCTATTTATTATTGACAAAATTAGGAATGTTAAAAACATATTTTTATTTTAACTGAAACTTTTTAGTTACATGAATTGATACCAGCTGTTACAACATGCATAGTATCAAAACAGTTATGCATGAGACCTGAACTAGACAATCATTGGGCTTTAAGAGATTTTGCTTCAAGACTTATGGCGCAAATTTGTAAAAACTTCAACACAAGTACAAATAATATACAAACTAGGATTACAAGGTATTACCTTTAGTGAGAGATGTAGGGGTTTTGTATTTATGGGAGTGATATTTTTAGGATGTTTACCAATGCGTTACAGCAAAACGATAAAGTTCCTTTTCCGTCTCTGTACGGGGCTTTGCAAGGGCTGTCGGAATTGGGGCCCGAAGTTGTCAGGATTTTGATATTGCCGCACATAAAATATATCGGTTGGTATTTTCGTACATTATTTAGTTCGCAAGTTTGACCGCTAATGGGGGTAGTTAAATTTTTTCTGACCTATACTTTTTAGGTTTTATTCAAGGCGTTTTGTAATATTAAAACATTTCTGTGAAATCAGAATTTCAATTGAGTTTACCGTTTTCGAGATATTTACAAAAAATATAAATTTTTATGACGTCCACAAACCTCGCCATGTGACCAACATTCTAAGATTTCTATTGGTTGAAAATTACCCTGTTGTCAAGTTGTTTTGTTAATGATTTCATTAGGTTATGTCAGAAAATACCCGAAGAGGTTATGTACAAATACTGTCACTGTCAGTTGAGTGAAAGATGGTCACCAAATTCATTAAGTACCTATCTTCCTTATTACGAGGTATCATATTACTGTTTGATATTTTAGAGTCCAAGATATATCTAAAAGAATATAAAGAACTAGGCATTATACTATGCATTTACGACAAAATATGATTATAATTATAGGTACTTACTTTATTTGTTTAAAAGCTCCAATCTTTAATGTAACCAACCATTCCACAAGATTTCTCTGCTTTGGAGTCCGTTATTAATAAATCACTTATCTAATATCAATTACAAATAACATAACAATAACATTGATTTTCAATAATCTAAATTTAAAAAAAACATAACCCGAAAAAAAGAAACGTCAAAAAATCAATTCTTCTTCTCAACTAAAATTATAGATCAAGTGGTTTTAAAACTAAAATATTATAACGTGGCGCCATCTATCGTAAGAATCTTAAACTAAACACACTGGCAACCATAGAAAAAGCTGGCAAACGTTGTCAATAGCGTAGTGACGTAATTAGGAGATTTTTTTTTGTAAATATCTCGAAAACGGTAAACTCAATTGAAATTCCGAATTCACAGAAATGTTTAAAATTACAAAACGCCTTGAATAAAACCATAAAAAGTATAGGTCAGAAAAAACTTAACTACCCCATTTAGTTCGCAAGTTTGACCGCTAATTCTTAGGCTCGAAAATCGAGACGCACCTCGAGGGCAACCTGCAATCGAACATCGACAAGATCGCGTCGAGCCTCATCAAGCAGCTGCTGGTGAAGGTGCTGGCGCCCGTGCTGAAGTCGCTGCGCAACCCGCCCGACAACCTGGACGAGTACCGGCAGGAGTACGGCTACCTGGGCGCGGCCCTGCACGTGGCGGTGGCCAAGGCGCGCGCCCAGCCCGCCGCGGTCGCGCCAGCCGCGACGACGTGCAGCGCCACCGGCAACATCGCGACCATGGGTACCGCGATCGCGAGGACCGTGGCCACGCCCAGCGCCATCTTGCAGCAACAGGTGAGAGTTTTGTAGTCGTTGTGTTTTTAACTAGTATAAGGTTTTTTTTGAATTTTTTTTTTAGATTTTTTTAATTCTTTTGCCTTCTTTAATTGAAAAAAACTACTTTTTACTATAAAATAATTTACTTTTTTGTTTTTTTTCTTCTACTTTTTAAGACTTTTAGACTTTTATTTATTTTTTCTTTTTATTTACCCTGTTAAATTTTTTGTTCTTACTTTTTGTGGCTTTTTTTGACTTCTTTCGATTTTTTTTTTCTTATTTGACTTTGTTTGCCTTTTTCTTACTTACGACTTTTTTGGGTTTTTATTTTTTTCACTTATTTTTGCCTTTTTTACCTTTTGTACTTTTTTTTCGACTATTTTTTGTACTTTTACCTTTGTTGTCGCTGTTTTACTATACTTTTTTCGACTTTTTGAATTCTCTCTTTGATTTTTATGATCATCACATTTTTTTAATTCAATAAATATATTTTTTTTCCCTTTTGACTTAAATTTTTCTATTTTTTTACTTTTTTTCGACATTTTTGGGCTTTGATTTTTTCACTTGCCTTTTTTACTTTTAAATTTTATCATTTTATAAGTTTTTAGACTTTTTTTCTGTGATTTTTATGACTGATAAATATATTTGTTTTTACATGTTTCGACTTTTTTGGGCTTTGCTTTTTCACTTTTTTCCCTTTTTGTATTTTTTCTTTCGATTTTTTTTTGTACTTTCATAAATTTTTTCGACTTTATTTTACCCTTTTGTACTATTTTTCTTTCCTTTATTTTTTTTACTCTAATAAAAGTATTTTTTTTACTATTTGTGGCTTTTTTACTTTACATTTTTTTTTGATTTCTTTGTGTGATTTTTATATAATAAATATATAATTTTTTGACTTACAGTTTTTGACTTTTTTGCACTATTTCTTACTTTCGACTTTTTTGTGCTTTGATTTTTTCACTTTTTATAATTTTTTTCGACTCATACTTTCTTTTTTTTACCTTTTAGACTATTTTTCTTTCTTTGATTTGTTTGATTTACAATTTTCTTACTGTAACAAAAATATTTTTTAGTTTTTTGTCGTCAACTTTAAATTTTTCACTTATTTTTGACTTTTTAACTTTTTTACCTTTTTTGTCACTTTTTTTAAAATTTTTTGGTTATTTTTGACTTTCCATGTATTTTTTGAAATTATTTTGTTTTAAAAAACGTCTTCTGTAACTTTTTGAACATTTTTTAGCATTAATTTTTCGACAGTGTTTATAAGACGTTTTTTTGTAACTTATTTGCAGTCCTCCGCGCCGGGCAGGACGATAGTCATGAACCCGGGCAGCAGGGTGCCGCAAGCGCAGGGCAACCAAAAGTTCGTGTTCGTCCAGCAGAGGGCGCAGACATCGTCGGGACAGGTGCAAACGCTGCAGCAACAGCAGCAGATAGTAAAAAGTACAAGGGCAGCAAAAAGTGGTGCAAACGCAGCCGAAACTGGTCGTGGTTTCCAACCAAGGTTTCGTCCAGGGGCAAAACGTCATGACCGCCAACCAGCCGCCGGTTTCCGTCGTGCAAAAACCGAACTTCACGATACAGCAGAACAACCAGAAGGAACCCCCCAATGTGGACGATTTGTCGCATCTAGCTTAGAAGTGTTTTCACAAGGCGAAGAGGGAATCTATATATTCCCAACAAATCTTTGCAACCTGGATTTCCACACACCCTGTATTTTATTTAGTTTGTACATATTTTTTTCTATATTTTACGGAAATAAAACTGCCTTTTTTAAGAATAAATAACTTATTTTTATCAATCCTTATTTATTCTGTACACGTTTCTACAAACTATATTTTATATTTTTCAAGTAAAAATTTCAATTATTTTAATTTATGTAAAAATTTAATCAACTACAAATATAAATTTTTAAGGATTTTATTTTTTAAATTTATCCCACTGTGGGAATTTGTCCTTCCATTTTTTAAATTAATCCCATTGTGCGAATTCGCACTGTGGGACAAATTTAAATATTGGGTGAATTTTTCCTACAATTTTTTAAATTTATCCCAATGTGCGAATTTGTCCACCCAATATTTAAATTTGTCCCACTGTGCGAATTTTTCCTCCCATTTTTAAATTTATCCACTGTGCGAATTTTTCCTACTATTTTTAAAATTTATCCCAATGTGCGAATTTGTCCACTCAATATTTAAATTTGTCCCACAGTGAGAATTCGCACATTGGGATAAATTTTAAAAATAGTAGGAAAAATTCGCACAGTGGGATAAATTTAAAAAATGGGAGGAAAAATTCGCACAGTGGGACAAATTTAAATATTCGGTGGACAAATTCGCACATTGGGATAAATTTAAAAATTGGGAGGAAAAATTCGCACAGTGGGACAAATTTAAATATTGAGTGGACAAATTCGCACATTGGGATAAATTTAAAAATTGGGAGGAAAAATTCGCACTGTGGGACAAATTTAAATATTGGGTGGACAAATTCGCACAGTGGGATAAATTTAAAATTTAGGAGGACAAATTTGCACAGTGGGATAAATTTTAAAAATTAGGAGGACAAATTTGCACGGTGGGATAAATTTAAAATTTAGGAGGACAAATTTGCACAGTGGGTAAATTTAAAATTCGCACGGTGGGATAAATTTAAAATTTAGGAGGACAAATTCGCACGGTGGGATAAATTTAAAATTTAGAAGGACAAATTTGCACAGTGGGATAAATTTAAAATTTAGGAGGACAAATTCGCACAGTGGGATAAATTTAAAATTTAGGACAAATTTGCACAGTGGGATAAATTTAAAATTTAGGAGGACAAATTCGCACAGTGGGATAAATTTAAAATTTAGGAGGACAAATTTGCACAGTGGGATAAATTTTAAAAATTAGGAGGACAAATTTGCACGGTGGGATAAATTTAAAATTTAGGAGGACAAATTTGCACAGTGGGTAAATTTAAAATTCGCACGGTGGGATAAATTTAAAATTTAGGAGGACAAATTCGCACAGTGGGATAAATTTAAAATTTAGAAGGACAAATTTGCACAGTGGGATAAATTTAAAATTTAGGAGGACAAATTCGCACAGTGGGAAAAATTTAGGAGTAAAAATTCGCACATTGGGATAAATTTAAAATTTAGGAGGAAAAATTCGCACATTGGGATAAATTTAAAATTTAGGAGGACAAATTTCGTTTTTTAAATTTACCCCAATGTGCGAATTTTTCTCACCATTTTTAAAATTTTTCCGTTTGTTTTTTAAATTCTCCCCAATCTGCGAATTTGTCCTCCTATTTTTTAAAATTATCCCAATGTGCGAATTTTTCTCACCATTTTTTAATTTAATTTAATTTTTCCTATTTTTTAAATTTATCCCACTGTGCAAATTTGACCTCCTAAATTTTAAATTTATCCCAATGTGCGAATTTGTCCACCCAATATTTAAATTTGTCCCACTGTGCGAATTTTTCCTCCCATTTTTAAATTTATCCCACTGTGCGAATTTTTCCTACTATTTTTAAAATTTATCCCAATGTGCGAATTTGTCAATATTTAAATTTGTCCCACAGTGAGAATTCGCACATTGGGATAAATTTTAAAAATAGTAGGAAAAATTCGCACAGTGGGATAAATTTAAAAAATGGGAGGAAAAATTCGCACAGTGGGACAAATTTAAATATTCGGTGGACAAATTCGCACATTGGGATAAATTTAAAAATTGGGAGGAAAAATTCGCACAGTGGGACAAATTTAAATATTGAGTGGACAAATTCGCACATTGGGATAAATTTAAAAATTGGGAGGCACAATTCGCACAGTGGGATAAATTTAAAATTTAGGAGGACAAATTCGCACGGTGGGTTAAATTTAAAATTTAGGAGGACAAATTTGCACAGTGGGATAAATTTAAAATTTAGGAGGAAAAATTCGCACATTGGGATAAATTTAAAATTTAGGAGGACAAATACGCACAGTGGGATAAATTTAAAATTTAGGACAAATTTGCACAGTGGGATAAATTTAAAATTTAGGAGGACAAATTCGCACAGTGGGATAAATTTAAAAATTAGGAGGACAAATTCGCACGGTGGGATAAATTTAAAATTTAGGAGGAAAAATTCGCACATTGGGATAAATTTAAAATTTGAGAGGACAAATTCGCAGTGGGATAAATTTAAAATTTAGGAGGAACAATTCGCACAGTGGGATAAATTTAAAATTTTGGAGGACAAATTCGCAGTGGGATAAATTTAAAATTTAGGAGGAACAATTCGCACAGTGGGATAAATTTAAAATTTTGGAGGACAAATTCGCACAGAGGGAATTTATTCCACTGTGCGAATTTGTCCTTTCGTTTTTTAAATTTACCCCAATGTGCGAATTTTTCTCACCATTTTTAAAATTTTTCCCGTTTGTTTTTTAAATTCTCCCCAATCTGCGAATTTGTCCTCCTATTTTTTAAAATTATCCCAATGTGCGAATTTTTCTCACCATTTTTTAATTTAATTTAATTTTTCCTATTTTTTAAATTTATCCCACTGTGCGAATTTGTCCTCCTATTTAATAAATTTATCCCACTGTGCGAATTTGTCCTATGAACAGTGCCATCTGTTATCCAGTAACCAAACGTTGAATTTACAGAAAACTTTATCAAACAATTATTACGTTGAATTTACAGAAAACTTTATCAAACATTATTTAACGTTTGGCTACCGGATAACAGATGGCGCTGTTCAAAGGACAAATTCGCACAGTGGGATAAATTTAAAATTTAGGAGGACAAATTTGCACAGTGGGAGTAATTTAAAATTTAGGAGGAAAAATTTGCACATTGGGATAAATTTAAAATTTAGGAGGACAAATTCGCACAGTGGGATAAATTTAAAATTTAGGAGGACAAATTTGCACAGTGGGATAAATTTGAAAAATTGAGGGAAAAATTCGCACATAGTACCCCTAATTTAAAAATTAGTCTGAATTTTTCTTACCATTTTTTAAATTTCACTGTTCGAAATTTCTTCCTATTTTTTAAATTTATTCCACTGTGCGAATTTGTCCTTTCGTTTTTTAAATTTACCCCAATGTGCGAATTTTTCTCACCATTTTTTAAATTTTTCCGGTTCGTTTTTTAAATTCTCCCCAATCTGCGAATTTGTCCTCCTATTTTTTAAAATTATCCCAATGTGCGAATTTTTCTCACCATTTTTTAATTTAATTTAATTTTTCCTATTTTTTAAATTTATCCCACTGTGCGAATTTGTCCTCCTATTTAATAAATTTATCCCACTGTGCGAATTTGTCCTATGAACAGTGCCATCTGTTATCCAGTAACCAAACGTTGAATTTACAGAAAACTTTATCAAACAATTATTACGTTGAATTTACAGAAAACTTTATCAAACATTATTCAACGTTTGGTTACCGGATAACAGATGGCGCTGTTCAAAGAACAATTTCGCACAGTGAGATAAATTTAAAAAATAGTAGGACAAATTCGCACAGTGAGATAAATTTTAAAATATTTTTAATAATTGTTTGATAAAGTTTTCTGTAAATTTAACGTTTGGCCACCGGATAACAGAAGGCGCTGTTCAAAGGACAAATTCGCACAGTGGGATAAATTTAAAATTTAGGAGGACAAATTCGCACAGTGGGAAAAATTTAAAATTTAGGAGGACAAATTCGCACAGTGGGATAAATTTAAAATTTAGGAGGAAAAATTCGCACAGTGGGATAAATTTAAAATTTAGGAGGACAAATTCGCACAGTGGGATAAATTTAAAATTTAGGAGGACAAATTCGCACAGTGGGATAAATTTAAAATTTAGGAGGACAAATTTGCACAGTGGGATAAATTTAAAACATATGCATGCCCACTCATATGTTAGGTGAAGTTACAGTCAAGTGGGTGGAGGCAATACAAACAAAACTCCCCATGTGCATAGGGGGGGCCATATTCGGGGCAGAAAGATTAAAACCCAAGCACAGGAAATTATACACTGAAAAATATCTGCCCTGGGCTATAAAGACTGGTAAAAATATGGATTTCCTACTAAATATTTATTTTGAGAAAAGGTGGGAGCAAAATGTGCAAGAATTGTGTCAAGAAATTAACATGGTGCCTTTAAAATTAGAGGAATAGAGTGTATTTATTGAAATATATGTTATATTTATTGAAAATGTGTTTTTTTTTGTTGTTAATGTGACAAATATACATCTTAGCTTTGTTTTTGTGTAGGTATTGTATGGCAAAAAACAATTAAATTAGGCGTGGTTTAAAAATTATGTCATGCAGTGTAGGACATTTGAACTACTCGATGTCATGTACACTGAGTGACAATATTTTTGAATTTTTTAAAAATTTAGTTTTCATGTTTTTGATAGTTTTCTGTAAATTTAACGTTTGGCTACCGGATAACAGATGGCGCTGTTCAAAGGACAAATTTGCACAGTGGGATAAATTTAAAATTTAGGAGGACAAATTCGCACAGTGGGATAAATTTAAAATTTAGGAGGACAAATTCGCACAGTGGGATAAATTTAAAAATTAGGAGGACAAATTCGCACAGTGGGATAAATTTAAAATTTAGGAGGAAAAATATGCACAGTGGGATAAATTTAAAATTTAGGAGGAAAAATATGCACAGTGGGATAAATTTAAAATTTAGGAGGACAAATTTGCACAGTGGGATAAATTTAAAATTTAGGAGGACAAATTTGCACAGTGGGATAAATTTAAAATTAAGGAGGACAAATTCGCACAGTGGGATAAATTTAAAATTTAGGAGGACAAATTCGCACATTGGAATAAATTTAAAATTTAGGAGGACAAATTCGCACATTGGAATAAATTTAAAATTTAGGAGGACAAATTCGCACAGTGGGGTAAATTTAAAATTTAGGAGGACAAATTCGCCACAGTGGGATAAATTTAAAATTTAGGAGGACAAATTCGCACAGTGGGGAAAAACATTTTTGAACCAGTATCAGTATTATGCATGCCCACTCATATGTTAGGTGAAGTTACAGTCAAGTGGGTGAAGGCAATACAAACAAAACTCCCCATGTGCATAGGGGGCGGGCCATATTCGGGGCAGAAAGATTAAAACCCAAGCACAGGAAATTATACACTGAAAAAATATCTGCCCTGGGCTATAAAGACTGGTAAAAATATGGATTTCCTACTAAATATTTATTTGAGAAAAGGTGGGAGCAAAATGTGCAAGAATTGTGTCAAGAAATTAACATGGTGCCTTTAAAATTAGAGGAATAGAGTGTATTTATTGAAATATATGTTATATTTATTGAAAATGTGTTTTTTTTGTTGTTAATGTGACAAATATACATCTTAGCTTTGTTTTTGTGTAGGTATTGTATGGCAAAAAACAATTAAATTAGGCGTGGTTTAAAATTATGTCATGCAGTGTAGGACATTTGAACTACTCGATGTCATGCAGTGTAGGACATTTGAACTACTCGATGTCATGTACACTGAGTGACATATTTTTGAATTTTTTAAAAATTTAGTTTTCATGTTTTTGATAGTTTTCTGTAAATTTAACGTTTTGCTACCGGATAACAGATGGCGCTGTTCAAAGGACAAATTTGCACAGTGGGATAAATTTAAAATTTAGGAGGACAAATTCGCACAGTGGGATAAATTTAAAAATTAGGAGGACAAATTCGCACAGTGGGATAAATTTAAAATTTAGGAGGACAAATTTGCACAGTGGGATAAATTTAAAATTTAGGAGGACAAATTTGCACAGTGGGATAAATTTAAAATTTAGGAGGACAAATTTGCACTATGGGATAAATTTAAAATTTAGGAGGAAAAATTCGCACATTGGGATTAATTTAAAATTTAGGAGGACAAATTCGCACAGTGGGATAAATTTAAAATTTAGGAGGAGAAATTCGCACAGTGGGATAAATTTAAAATTTAGGAAGACAAATTCGCACAGTGGGGATAAATTTAAAATTTGGGAGGACAAATTTGCACAGTGGGATAAATTTAAAAAAACGAAAGGACAAATTCGAAGTGGGATAAATTTAAAAAATAGGGGGGACAAATTCGCACAGTGGGATAAATTTGAAAAATTGAGGGAAAAAATTCGCACAAAGTACCCCTAATTTAAAAATTAGTGTGAATTTTTCTTACCATTTTTTACATATCAGAGTGCGTGCGAAATTTCTTCCTATTTTTTAATTTATTCCACTGTGCGAATTAGTCCTTTCGTTTTTTAAATTTACCCCAATGTACGAATTTTTCTCACCATTTTTTAAATTTTTCCCGTTCGTTTTTTTAAATTCTCCCCAATCTGCGAATTTGTCCTCCTATTTTTTAAAATTATCCCAATGTGCGAATTTTATCACCATTTTTTAATTTATCCCTCTATGCGAATTTTTCCTATTTTTTAAATTTATCCCACTGTGCGAATTTGTCCTCCTATTTAATAAATTTATCCCACTGTGCGAATTTGTCCTAGGCAACGTTTGGTTACCGGATAACAGATGGCGCTGTTCAAAGAACAATTTCGCAGTGAGATAAATTTTAAAAATTTTTAATAATTGTTTGATAAAGTTTTCTGTAAATTTAACGTTTGGCCACCGGATAACAGATGGCGCTGTTCAAAGGACAAATTCGCTCAGTGTGATAAATTTAAAATTTAGGAGGACAAATTTGCACAGTGGGATAAATTTAAAATTTAGGAGGACCAAATTTGCACAGTGGGATAAATTTAAAATTTAGGAAGACAAATTTGCACTGTGGAATAAATTTAAAATTTAGGAGGACAAATTCGCACAGTGGGATAAATTTAAAATTTAGGAGGACAAATTTGCACAGTGGGATAAATTTAAAAAATGTAGGACAAATTCGCACGGTGGGATAAATTTAAATTTGGGATAAATTTAAAAATTTAGGAGGAAAAATTCGCACATTCGGATAAATTTAAAATTTAGGAGGAAAAATATGCACAGTGGGATAAATTTAAAATTTAGGAGGACAAATTTGCACAGTGGGACAAATTTAAATATTCGGTGGACAAATTCGCACATTGGGATAAATTTAAAAATTGGGAGGATAAATTCGCACAGTGGGACAAATTTAAATATTCGGTGGACAAATTCGAACATTAGCTGCGCATACACAGGCGTTATTTCGCGCGGTTTATCGTGGCGTGTTGGGATGTAGCGGTTAGTATGCGCGAAAGAACGGCGTGGCAAAAAAAGCGTCCATGTTCCATACACTTGATAAGTAATTCAAATGATTTAGCAAGTGATTGCCCGTGGTATATCAGTTTCAAAGAAAAAATCGTATGTGAGTGGGCAAAAAGTGTCATTTATCGAGTCGTTTGAAAATGCATGTGATATGTACAAATTTTCAACGTGAAATTTTGCCAAGCAAAGGTAAACCGTGACGCGGAATGTGGCGTGTGGACACTCCACACTCCAGAGGAAAGCACGTCTGAAATCCCTTCCCGTTCTATCATTTCGCGCGGTGATACTCACTCACGTACATGATTTTCCATATGTTTTTGCAGATAACACGATAAACCGCGCGCAATAACGTCTGTGTATGGCCAGCTATTGGGATAAATTTAAAAATTGGGAGGAAAAATTCGCACAGTGGGACAAATTTAAATATTCGGTTGACAAATTCGCACAGTGGGACAAATTTAAATATTCGGTGGACAAATTCGCACATTGGGATAAATTTAAAAATTAGGAGGAAAAATTCGCACAGTGGGACAAATTTAAATATTCGGTGGACAAATTCGCACTTTGAGATAAATTTAAAAATTGGGAGGAAAAATTCGCACAGTGGGACAAATTTAAAAATTGGGAGGACAAATTCGCACATTGGGATAAATTTAAAAATTGGGAGGAAAAATTCGCACAGTAAGACAAATTAAAAAAATGGTTGGGCAATTCGCACAGTGGGATAAATTTAAAAAATGGTAAACAAAAAATTTCCAGTGGGATAAATTTAAAAAATAAACGGATAAATTCGCACAGTAGGACAAATTTAAAAATGGTAGGAAAAATTTGCAGAGGGATAAATTTAAAAATGGTAAAAATTTCAATTTTAAATTATGTTAACTTGTTTAAAACTCCAGAAATTTAATTATCCAATAAAAATTTAACTTGTTTTATTTACTTATTCATGAATTTTGGAAAATTAAAAAACTTTAGTTCTTTAAAATATTTTAGTGAGCTATAAATAAAAAACATATTTTTAAGAATAAATAACTTTATTATAAATCCTTAGATTACCTATGTACACATTTCTACAAACTATAAATACAAATTTATATAATAAAAATCCAACATATTTTTCATCCTATGGCAAATATAATAACATTAAATAGTATGTACAAAAATATTTACACTAACACGTACACATACAATTAATCTGACTTATATAATACATTCTGGTATAATACTTTGTATATTATATTAATTAAATAAATAGTTTCATTTGAACGATTTTTGTACATCGACGACATTTTATAAAAACATCGCGTTATTTATGGCAGTTAAAAAGTTATAAATGATTTCTGGAATATTTGTTTCTACTCCGTAGGACAAGAATTCAACATGATATTGTGCAAGTTGTGCATATCGGTCCAGTCCGTTATATCGCTGTTTATTAGAACGTTGCGTATGCAACCTTTGAAGTTTTCTCTTGCTTTAAGGGTCCCCACAGGAGCTGAATCTAAACAAAATGATTTTTTAGGGACAAACGTTTTTCCCAAGATTATTTTAAACCTTATGTTTTTTGATAACTGATTTGTCGGGTATTTTTGTTATTTTGGGATATTTTAAGATGTTTGTGATTTTGTAAGACTTTTTAAGATTTGGAAGAATTTTAGATTCTTGGGATTTTGTTAGAATTTTAAGATTCATTGGGATATTATAAGATTCTTTAGATTTTGTAAGAATATTGGGATATTTTAAAAAGATTCTTGTAATTTTGTTCGAATTTTATGATTCACTGGAATATTTTAAGATTCTTGAGATTTTGTAAGAATTTGTAAGGATTTTAAAGATTCTTTGAGATTTTGTAAGAATTTTTAAAAATTTGGAAAGATTTTTAAGATTCTTGGGATTTTGTTAGAATTTTAAGATTCATTGGGATATTAAAAGAAGATTTTTTAGATTTTGTAAGAATATTGGCATATTTTAAAAAGATTCTTGTAATTTTGTTCGAATTTTATGATTCACTGGAATATATTAAGATTCTTGAGATTTTGTAAGTATTTGTAAGGATTTTCAAGATTCTTTGGGATTTTGTAAGAATATGTAAGGATTTTTAAGATTCTTTGGAATTTTGTAAGAACTTTAAGATTCTTTGAGATATTTTAAAAGTATTCTTGGGATTCTGTTGGAATTTTAAGATACATTGGGATATTTGAAGAATATTTTTGAGATTTGTTAGAATATTTTAGGGAAGATTCTTGAAATTGTGTAAGAATGTTTGGGATTTTGTAAGGATTGGAGAGATTGTAGAGAACTATAGTTTAAAAAAAAAATCACTTAAAACTAATTTGTCACATACTTGATATTGGCAAAATAATAATAATGATTAATTTGACCCTTCCTACTTTTGCCAATAATTTTCAATATGAACTTTAGGAGATTATGTCCTCCTATGCCAGCCACTGAAAAAAAAATCTTATAGGTAAAAATGTACTAACCTGCTATTCCTCCAATATACAGTGGGGCGTTAATATCAGCGGAATCCGAATACGGTATAACCCAAGTTTTGGTGATACCGTCGACGTTAACTGTCAACTCCGACGTGGAATAAGAAGTTTTGACGCTATGCCATTTGTAGTTGCAAAGCGCGAATTCAGAGTTCAAATTATTCGAAACGTTATTCGTGATGCCGTTTCCCATATCCACGGCCATCACCAAGGCCCCGTTTTGCAGCTCAATGGACAGCGCCGGGCTGTTTTGGGAGTTTGAGATGCTCAACAAAACTCCATTTTGCTCCGAAGTTCGGAAGTCGAACCTCACATCGAATTGCGAGTTTATTTCGTAGTTATTTTCTGAAAGATGTTGGTAATCACCACAATAGTCCTAGTAAAAAAAAATGATTTTTTACTTACGGTATACAGCATAGGAATCTCCGCCAAAATAGGCGCCTTTTTCAATTTTTGCGAAGCACTGCCCCACATTTGTACTGTCATGATAATCGTGGGTTTTGCCGTTGAAAGAAAAACCCTTAATGCAACCCCTAAATTGAGGCAAATTCTAAAAAAGAGAAGAAATAATACACGATATTTTTTCCCCCATAACTTATTTGCTTACCAAATTCACGGTGCCCAAATTCTCTGGGATTCCCCCCATGTACAGCAAAGGTTTAAGGTTGGCATTGTTGATTTTCGAGACGTGTGAAGCACCATCCAAAGTTATGCTCATTTTTTTGGATTTCTTTACGACGGTCAAAGATATCGTCAAGTTATGCCATTTACCGTCATTTACGTCGACGTCGGGTATTTTCGGCCTTTTTTCTTTCTTGCCTTTTATGTTTAATTTTAGTTTGCCATTTTCTAGTTGCAATGCTAAATAATGGTTTCTACCGCCCTAGATGACAAATCAAATATATTAATTAAATGTTTTGTAAAATTGTTTTTAAATTTTTGTAAGGATTTCAAGATTCTCTGGGATATATTAAGAAGATTCTTGTAAGGATTTTTGAAATTCTTCAGGATTTTGTAAGAATTCTTAAAAGTTTGTAAGGATTTTTAAGATTATTAGAATTTTTTAAGAATATTAAAGTTTTTGTAAGAATTTTAAAGATTCTTGGAATTTTGTTGGAAATTTAAAATTCTTTGGGATATTTTAAAAAGATTCATGAGATTTTGTAAGGAATTAGAATACTTTAAGAAGATTCTTGTTGTTTTCTTACAATTTTATTAAAATTCTAAGATTCTTTAAGATATGTTAAGAAGTTTCATGGGATTTTGTACTAATTTTTAAGATTCTTAGGATTTCGTAAGAATATTAAAGATTTTGTAAGGATTTTAAAGATTCATGTAATTTTATGGAAATTTAAAATTTTTGGGATATTTTAAAAATATTCATAATATTTTGTAAGAATTAAGATTCTTGGGATTTTGTAAGAATGTAAGATTTTGTAAGGTATTGGAATACTTTAAGAGGATTCTTTGGATTTTGTAAGAATTTTAAGATTCTTGGAATTTTATGTAAATTTAATATTCTTTGGGATATTTGAAGAAGATTTATGAGATTTTGTAAGAATTTTTAAGATTCTTAGGATTTTGTAAGAATGTAAGATTTTGTAAGCATTTTTAAGTTCATGGGATTTTTTAAGAAGATCCTTTAATTTTTAAGGTTTTGTAAGGGTTTTTAAGGTTCTTTAGGATTTTATAGGAATGTTAAGATTCTTTGGAATATTTTAAGATTCTTGTGATTTTATAAGAATTTTATTAAATTTTACGATTTTTAAGAAGATTAATATATTAATTTATTAGTAAAATAAAACAAAAATTGGTATAATATTCTTACCTCCGCAAAAATCAGCACCCCCTGTGGGTAAAAAGTCCTAAATTGAAACGACAGGTTAAAACTCTTCTTCAAGTTAAAGTTAACACTTATTTTAGCATAACTGTTATTTTTATTTCCGAATTTGGCAGCTCCTTTCACCGGCTCAGTCCCTGATATAGAAGTGCAACTTTCGGTTTTTTGCATTATTTCGTTCGGCATTTTCGGGCTGAACTTTCTCCCCTTTTTAACCGACTTTTTTATCCTTAGGGGTTCCTCCCGACCTATGTCGACGTTTTCGAAACTCTTCACGCTGCTTTGGTCCAGATATTGAGGCCTGAAATTTTAAGTGTTATATTTTTACAGGGGTGTATTCCGAATGAAAGCACTTGCCTGTTTTCATTCAATATTAGCTGGTAGAACCCGCCAATGTAACTCGGAAAATCGTCACCGAATGTTATGCTACTCAAGAGTCCTTTTGAGGAGAACATCACATTTTTCTCGGCCCCATTAACCCTCAAAACGTTGCCTTTTACATCGAACTCGATGTAATGGTACTTATTGGGAACAATCAACTCGTTTTCGATCGTGTACTTTTGATTGTTCGGCAGTTCGATGATAAGTTTTTGATTTTTGATGATTAGTTTAGCCAAGTTTTTTATGTTCATTACGTTAGCGGATGATATGGTTGCGTTCGGTCGCAACAAAAAACCCAAAGTGTTGTACGTTTCGTCGAACTCCAACTTAAGCTTGGAGTTCGGTTTAAACCAAGCTTTGTTGAACTTAAACTGAAAGAAAAATTTACAACAAAAATTCATAGTATATTACAAACAATTTTGTAAACATTTTAGGATTCTTTGGAATAATTTTAAACAAATCTTCAGATTTTGTAAGAATTTTAAGATTCTTGGGATTTTGTTACAATTTTAAGATTCTTGGTGATTTTGTTACATTCTAAGATTTTTTAAGGTATTTTAAGAAGATTCATGAGATTTTCAATGAATTTTTAAGATTCTTAGGATTTCGTAAGAATATTAAAGATTTTGTAAGGATTTTAAAGATTCTTTTGTAAGAATTTTAAGATTCTTTGGAATACATACTTTAAGAAGATTCTTGTGATTTTGTAAGAATTTTTAAGATTCTTGGAATTTTGTTGGAAATTTAAAATTCTTTGGGATATTTTAAGAAGATTCATGAGACTTTGTAAGAATTTTTAAGATTCTTAGGATTTCGTAAGAATTTTTAAGATCGTTAGGAAGTTCATAGTATATTTCAACATGGGGGGATATTTTACAAACAATTTTGTAAACATTTTAGGATTCTTTGGAATAATTTTAAACAAATCTTCAGATTTTGTTAGAGTTTTAAGATTCGTTATTATATTTTTTAGGATTTTGTAAGAGTTGGATTTTGTAAGAATTTAAGTTTCTTGGGATTTTGTAAGAATCTTAAGATTTTGTATTTTTCAGATTATTTAGGATTTTGTAAGAATTTTAAGATTCTTGGCATTTTGTTAGAATTTTAAGATTCTTGGTGATTTTGTTACATTCTAAGATTTTTTAAGATATTTTAAGAAGATTCATGAGATTTTCAAAGAATTTTTAAGATTCTTAGGATTTCGTAAGAATATTAAAGATTTTGTAAGGATTTTAAAGATTCTTTTGTAAGAATTTTAAGATTCTTTGGAATACATACTTTAAGAAGATTCTTGTGATTTTGTAAGAATTTTTAAGATTCTTGGAATTTTGTTGGAAATTTAAAATTCTTTGGGATATTTTAAGAAGATTCATAAGATTTTGTAAGAATTTTTAAGATTCTTAGGATTTCGTAAGAATTTTTAAGTTCATAGTATATTTCCACATACCTCTTCAAGTTTCGAAGTGCCATGCGATTGCACTTCCTTCACATTATTACTCAACTCCTTCAACTCCCCCAAAAACGACCTCGTCTCGAAATCCATCCCCTCGCACTTCTCAAACGTGGGATCGACTCCCGCCACCAAGTGCTGGGCCTTTTTGAACTTGAAAATGTCCTTTCTGTTCAGCTCGAAAACCGTATTTTGAGAATCATCGTTCAAGTCGAGTTTTATCGTTTGTTTCCCGTTTTGGTGCAAGCTTTTGATCGTCACTTTGTTTTGCTGACCGTTGGATACAATTTGAGGGAAATCTAATGTATGCACTTCGACGTTGTTCCACTTGAAATGGAGTCTGCGGTCTCTTATATACAGAGCCATGTATTTACACCCCTAAAATGAGAATGTTGGAAAATAAGGATCTAATTCTTTCATTAGTGCGTGAAAGAAGAAAATATGAAAGAGTATGAGGAAGAGTATAAAGAGTAATGAGATGAGGATCTTTTATACCTGTAGAAAAAGGATGAGGAAGAAAAAAATAAGAAAGAGAGGGAAGAAGAGAATTATAAGGGGATATGGAAAATGATGAAGAGAACGAAATTTGTGATTTTGTAAAAATATTAAGAATTATTGGGATTTTTTTAAGAGTTTTAAGATTATTTTACATATTTTAAGATGATTGTTGGGATTTTGTAAAAAGTTTAAATGGGATTTTGTAGGAATTTTTAAGATTTTGTATGATTCTTAAGAATTTGAATAATTTTAAGATTCTTTTGAATTTTGTAGGGATTTTAGGATTCTTTGGAATTTTTTAAGAAGATTCTTGGTATTTTATAAGAATTTTTAAGATTTTAGTATTTTGCAAGGATTCTAAATATTCTTTAGAATTTTGTAGGGATTCTAGAATTCTTTGAAAAAAGTTCTTAGGATTCTGTAATAACGTTAAGAATCTTGGGATTTTGTAAGAATTTTTAAGATTTTGTAAGAATTTTTAAAATTCTTTAGAATTTTGTAAGAATTTTAAGATTCTTTGGGATATTTTAAAATTCTTTGGGCTATTTTAGGATTCTTGGGATTTCGTAGTAATTTTAAGATTCTTTGGGATATTTTAAGAAGATTTTTGTGATTTTGTAAGAATTTTTAAGATTCTAGTATTTTGAAAGGATTCTTAAGATTCTTTAGAATTTTGTAGGGATCCTAGAATTCCTTGGAATGTTTAGAGAACATTCTTAGGATTTTGTAATAATTTAAAGATTCTTTAGAATTTTGTAAGAATTTTAAGATTCTTTAAGATATTTTAGGTTTTTTTGTGATTTTGTAAGAATTTTTAAGATTCTAGTACTTTGTAAGGATTTTTTAAGATTCTCTAGAATTCTGTAAGAATTTTAAGATTCTTTGGGATATTTTAGGATTCTTAAGATTTTGTGAGAATTTTAAAATTCTTTGGGATTTTGTAAGAATTTTTAGGATTTTAGTATTTTGTAAGGATTTTTAATATTTTTTAAAATTTTGCAAGGATTTTAGGATTCTTTGGAATATTTTAAGAAGATTCTTAGGATATTGTAAGAATTTTAAGATTCATCGAAATATTTTAAAGATTCTTGTGATTTTGTTAAAATTTTTGAAAGAATTTAAGAATGAAGTCTGCGATTTGGAATTGGAAAAAAACGATATAAATCCTTCATCAGTCCGAAAAAGATAAGAAAGAATATGAGAAAAATCAATAAGGTAATAAGAAGAAAATGATAAGGAAGAGGATCTTCCATAGGTTGGAGATAATTTTCTATCGAAAATAAATTTCTAGAAATCCCATGGACAAATGCTTCACTTACCTCATAATAAGAAAGATACAGTAAACTGTTTTCATCAAAAGTCTTGAAGTCGAAAGTCAACACGTACTGATATATGCTTTTGAGGGCATTATTTTTATAAACCGCGTAACCTTTTCCGTTCCAGTAATGTCTGTCGATATTATCCACAGGATATCTGAAATAAAAAAGTTGAACAGGGACTTTCCGAACACCCTGTATGCATACTTACAGATCCGAAGATCCCCTACAGCTATTCGGAGTGTTGGTTTTGAAGTTCCAAAGTCCCATGGCTTCTCTATTATATCGCATTGCATACAAAGTTCCTCCGACATTATTTGCATCACCCACTTCAATTTCAGTTACCGTGTCATCGTTTTTAAACACATCTTTTACTATTTTGACTGTGCTTCCTATTTTTATGCTCAAATTCGGACCATATCTACGAAAAAAAATATTTTCATGGGTTCCATATTATCGGCATGTCGATTTACCTGACCAGCTTCACATTCACAGTCGCGTTAAACTTTCCGAAGCTTAAGCGGCTGTCATCCTTGAAATCCGCCTGGATCTCGTAATTTTCCGCGCTGAAACGCAGAAAATCTTCGTCCCCGATGCGCAGCTTCAACGGCACGCAGCTGCGACACCTGAAGGTGAAGCTGAATTTCTCGAAAACCTCGGTTTCGGGCACAGCGTAGGTGCGCACGCAGCCGGTCAAATCCAGGAATATGATCAGCTGCAAAACGGCAACGTTGCACTGAACGGTAAATTTGGCGCGTCGCGGTTGCACTTACCGAGTTTGCGAGGTTCTTGGCCTCCATGATTTTTCCGCGCAGCTCCTCCAGCCTCCTTGATATGTCCGTGGGAGCCTTATAGTTCGTTATGTTGTATTTTTTTATTTTTATGTTTTTTAACGCGTCGAAAGTGGATTCGTTTGAATTTACATCGTTTAGGTCTGGGGAATACTTGGATTTTAAATCATCAATATCTAAAAATATAGATATATTTCATAACATCCAAAAAAACCTCCTCAATGCTCACTTAGCATCTTTTAAAAATAAAATAAAAATTTAAGATTCTTGGGATTTTGTAAGAATTTTTGAGATGCTAGTATTTTGTAAGGATTTTTAAGATTCTTTAGAATTTTGTAAATATTTTAGAATTCTTTGGAATAATTTAAGAAGATTGTAAGGATTTTGTAAGAATTTTAAGATTCTTGAGATTTTGTAAAAAATTTAAGATTTTTAGGATATTTTAATTAGATTATTGAGATTGTGTAAGAATTTTTAAGATTCTAGTATTTTGTAAGAATTTTTAAGATTCTTTAGAATTTTGTAAGGATTTTAGAATTCTTTGGACAATTTTAAGATTCTTTGGGATATTTTAGGAAGATTCTTGAAATTTTGTAAAAAAAATTAAGATTCTAGTATTTTGTGAGAATTTTAAGATTCTTTTGGATTTTTTAAGAATTTTTAAGATTTTAGTATTTTGTAAGGATTTTTAAGATTCTTTAGAATTTTGTAAGGATTTTAGGATTCTTTGAAATATTTTAAGAAGATTCTTAGGATTTTGTAATAATTTTAAGATTCTTGGGATTTTATAAGAATTTTTAAGATTCTAGTATTTTGTAAGGATTTTTAAGATTCTTTAGAATTTTGTAAGGATTTCAGGACTCTTTGGAATATTTTAAGAAGATTGTGAGGATTTTGTAGGAATTTTAAGATTTGTTGGAATATTTTCGCTCACTTACCATCTTTTGAAAATAGGTTCAAGTACTTCTTGTAATTCTGGAACAAATTGTACTGTATGGTGATATTCATGTTGTTAACGTCACTTAGGATTTTCTGCATGTGATCTGAGACGTTCTCGTTTTTTGTCAAGGTATCTTCGATTTTTCGTTTTTTATCCCAATGCTTGTTTAACTCATTCTTCATGTTGTTTAAAATGGCGTTTAAGTCGTTGTTCTTCTTACCAGTGGTAAGAATATTGTATTTTAAATCGTCAACTTTTTTCTTTACATCATTGTACTCTACAAAAAGGCTTTTTATAAAAAAGTGTTTTAACATTATAAAATGTGTTTTTTATTCTAAATTGTGTTTTAAGATTTTTTTATTAATGTATTTTAACATTCTAAAATGTGTTTTAGACTTTAATCCTTTAAAAATGTGATTTTACATTTTAAATTGTGTTTTTTAAGATTCCAAATTGTGTTTCAGATTTTTTTAAGTATTGTTTATATTTTTTTTATTTTCTTAATTATTGTTTTTATTTTTTTTTAATATAAATTGTGTTTATAGGATTTCATTATTTGTTATTAACATTCTAAGATGTGTTTTAGACTTTCCAGGTCATTTACAATCAAAATTGTGTTTTTAACCTTTTAAAATATGTTTTAACATTCTGAATTGTGTTTTTAAGATACCAAATTGTGTTATACATTTACTGAATTATTATTTATATTTTTGATGTTTTAAAATGTATTTTTAAAATTCTAAATTGTGTTTTATACTTGAAATAACATTCTAAATTATGTTTTTAAGATTTCTTTACTTGTTTTTAATGTAAATATTTTAGAATTGTGTTTTTAAGATTTCTTTACTTGTTTTTAATGTACATATTTTTTACTTGTGTTTTTAACCTTTCAAAATATGTTTTAACATTCTAAATTGTGTGTTATGCTTAATATAACATTCTAAATTGTGTTTTAAAGATGTCTTTACTTATTTTTAATGTATTTTAGACTTTCTAGATTACTTATAGTCAAAATTGTGTTTTTAACCTTTTAAAATGTGTTTTAACATTCTAAATTGTGTTTTTTGCTTGATACAACATTCTAAATTGTGTTTTTAAGATGTCTTTACTTGTTTTTAATGTATTTTAGACCTTCCAGGTCACTTAAAGTCAAAATTGTGTTTTTAACTTTTTAAAATGTGTTTTAAAATTATGAATTGTGTTTTGTATTTACTAGATAATTATATTTTAAAATGTATTTTTTAAACTCTAAATTGTGTTTTATACTTTAATACTTTACTTATTTTTAAGGTATTTTAGACTTTCCAGAACATTTACAGTCTAAATTGTGTTTTTACGTTCTAAATTGTGTTTGTATGATTTTAAATTGCATTTTAACCTTTTAAAACATGTTTTTGACATTCAAAATTATGTAAGCAGTGTTAAAAAAAGACAAAATTTTCTTACCTGGTTGTATATCTTTAAGATTTTGGATCCTGTGGTTCAACCTGTCGGAATAGGCCTGAGACAAAACCGCCAAATCCTGTATTGAATCGTTATTGCTCGGTTCCAAAATCCGAAAGGCCTCCTGTATCTTCCTTTTGGCCTCGTTGGCCGTCAAATTGACGTCTTCGATTTGCCTGACGATCTCTTCGTACGCAACGCTAGCATTTATCTTCCTCCACTCTTCGTTGGTGAAGTTGAAGAGGCCCTTGTAGTAGTCGAACGTGTCTTGGAGCTTCTCCAAGTGGTCATCTACCTCGTCCATGAGGTAGTCGTAGTAATCCGTGTCTTTTTCCAGCTGCCGTTTGCGCAGTTTTGAGTAATCCGGGCGGATTCCTTTGAGGGATTCGTAAACGTTTTTAGTCTCCTCTAAAAGTGAGGATGCTGCTATAATTTTGTCTTTTGCATCAGTTAGATTGGATTCGATTTGTTCTTTGTTTTCCTCCATCATTTTTATCTTCAATCTCAAATCGTCCAAACGTTTTCTGTTCGATTTGTTCTTGTGGTCGGCCAGAGGAGCTGTCTTCAATATTTCCTCGTTTATCTTGTTGAGATTTTTGAGTTTTTCTATGAGCTGACTCAGAAGCTCTCTCAACCTGTTGGGGCTTATGTTGTCGTCCTTATAAACCTCTTGGATTTTATTGTACACGTCGTTGCACTTCTTGAACTGCACTTCGTAAGTGGCGTTGTTAAATCGTCGAGATTTATCGTGAATATCGTTGAGGATTTCATCTGCCTCTTCAAGTGCTTCGCTGACGTTTAAATGTTTGTTGTTGAATACGTTTAAGTTGTTCACCACATTCAAAACCCGTTCGTCCAAATTTTCTATGTCTTCTCTCAAAACTTTGGAGGATTTCTCCAACTTCTCGACCCGATTCTCGCCGTTTTTATCGCCCTTCAAAATCCCCACGTACTTCTCAATTTTATCGATCTTTGCCTCCAAATTCGGCACGTTTATGGTTTCAAGCAAATCGTGCACTTTTTCGTACGTAATTTTATACCGACTCGACAGCAATTTGTGCCCATCCATAACCCCCATCAGTTGATCCCACGGGGGCCCTATCCCATCCCGAAACTGATCCAGAGTCTCGTTGATCGCCCACTTGAGAGTATCCAGCTCTTTAAACAACAGCTGAGTGCACTCATCGCAAGCTGAAATGCCAAAAATGTACTGTACCTGCAAGTATGAAAAAAATCTTTAGACTTACGCGTGCAGATTCCGTTTCTGACGTACTCTCTGGGGCGCACGCATTGCGAGCATTTGTCGCCGGTGAAACCGGCTTTGCAGTCGCATTTACCGGTTTCGGGGTCGCACTGAGCGTTCGTGGTGGTTTTCGAATCGCAATCGCACGATTCGCACTTACCGTTCACCCTGTAGTAACCGTCCTTGCAATCTTTGCAATTCGGTTCTTTGTAGCCTGAAGAAAAAATTGTGTTTTTTACATTCTTAAATTTTAGTCTGTTTATTATTTTAAGTTGTACGCTTGATAGGTTTGATATAGCATTCTAAATTGTGTTTTTTAGTATTCCAAATTTTTAGATTCAAAATTGTGTTTTATCCTTGATATGACATTCTAAATTGTGTTTTTAAGATTTCTTTACTTGCTTTTAATGTATTTTATACTTTGTAGGTCACTTACAGTCAAAATTGTGCTTTTAACCTTTAAAATGTGTTTTAAAATTCTGAATTGTGTTTTTAAAAAATTAAATTAAATTGTGTTTTATGCTTGATAAAACAATCTAAACTGTGTTTTTAATATTTATTTATTTGTTTTTAACATTTTAAAATGTGTTTTAGACTTTTCATGTAATTTACAGTCAAAATTGTGTTTTTTAGGATTCCAAATTGTGTTTTAGATTTTCTAGATTATTATCGTGTTATTATGTTATTATGTTTATTTAAATCATGTATTTCAGTGAACTACTGATGATGCCAAAACAGGCGAAACTAGTATAGTTTTGAAAATAAAAATAAAATTAAGTCATTTCATTTCATAATAAAAATTCCATATTGTGTTTTAGATTTTTTAAATTATTATTTATATTCAGGACATTTTAAAATTTACTTTCTAAATTCCAAATTGTGTTTTTAAACTTTCAAAATGTGTTTTAACATTCTAAATTTTTTTTTTAAGATTCCTTGTTTTATTTTGTACTTTACAGGTCATTTACTAATAAAATTGTGTTTTTACCCTTTCAAAATGTGTTTTTACATTCTAAATTTTGTTTTTAAGATTTATTTGCTGGTTTTTAACATTCTACAATGTGTTTTGGACTTTCCAGGTCAGTTACAGTCAAAATCGTGTTTTTAAACTTTTAGTATATGTTTTAACATTTTAAATTGTGTTTTAGGCTTTATATAACATTCTAAATTGTATCTTGTATACTTGTTTTTAACATTCTATAATGTGTTTTAGACTTCCCAGGACACTTACAGTCAAAATAGTGTTTTTAACCTTTGAAAATGTGTTTTAACATTCTAAATTGTGTTTTTTAGGATTCCAAATTGTGTTTTACTTTTTCTAGATTATTATTTATATTTTTGATATTTTAAAATTTATTTTTTACATTCTAAATTTTATGCTTGATATAACAACATTCTATATTGTGTTTTTAAGATATCTATATAACATCCTAAAATGTGTTTTAGACTTTTCAGGTCATTTACAGTCAAAATTTTGAAATTAACCATTTAAAATTTGTGTTAGATTTTATAGATTATTATTTAGGTTTTTGAGATTTTAAAATTTATTTATAAAATTCTAAATTGTGGTTTATGCTTAATTTAAGATTTATATGCTTGTTTTTAACATCCCAAGATGTGTTTTAGACTTTTTAACGTTTCGAATTGTGTTTTAAAATTCTAAATTGTGTTTTTAACCTTTCAACATCCTAAATTGTGTTTAAGGCGCAATATAACATTCTAAATTATGTTTTATGATTGATATAAAATTATAAATTGTGTTTGTCGTAAAAAATCATATTTACCTGTTTTGCATTTACAAATAAACCCAGTAGTGGAAATTGTGCACCCTTTAGAATTATTTTCGGTAGCCGAAGGACATAAACAAGGTTCGCATTTCTCTTGGTACTCGTCCATGTAAAAACCTTCAGCGCACAGTTCGCAATGACTACCAAAAGTATTATCCCGGCAGTTCTAAGACGAAAAAAAAAATATAAAAACCTTCGGTAACATTTTTTCCAAACTTACCTTGCAATGGCCCGTGTTTGGATCGCATTCCTCGGATTTTCCGTTGCAATCGCACTTTTTAGCCGCCCCTATGATTCTATCGTACTCCGATACGGGATTTTCGAAGCTCCTGTAATAACCAGGGCTCGGATTTTGACAGGACAGCCCTGTGTATTCAGGGGGGCATTCGCACTTTTCCACAGTCGAGTATTTTTCGTGCCTTATGGGCAGATTCTCGCTCGAGAAGTCCATCAACACTTCAGTTATGCTGAAAAGAGTTTCATATTTTTTTGTTTTAGTACACAAGGTGTTCCACTTACTTTAGTACTTCCCCATGTAATGGTTCTATGGAAATGTCTTTAACATTCTGCAAAACCAGCATGAGACAATTCCTCGACAACCTGCTCTTGCAATTTGCCGGCATGAAATCGTAATCGTCATATTTTAACCTCCAATCTAATTCGTCCAATTTTACGTTTTCGCTGCGATTTTTCGTGTGGTCATTTTCCACGACGATGCCTCGAGGGTTTTTCAGGAAAATTTGGAAATTATTTTGCGTTTCCACGGTGATAAAGCCCCCAAAAGAGGTCGTTATGTCCCCGAGAAATTGAGAGGGAAGGTAGTAGCAAGGAGATCGCGAAATCTAAAGAAAATAATTACATTTTTGTGTTTTTCCAAAGTAATTGTTTTTTACATTCTACATTCCCCAAAACGTGTTAAATTAATATAATTACTATAATGTGAAAGAAACAGTTAAAATAATTGCAAATTAATGGTTCCCTGAATATAAATAAGTGAATACTCAAAACATTATCATTCAACATTAAAACCATGTTTAAATATATGGTAAGTCCGCTTATTCAAAACCAAAACATTTTATTTTTTAACATTGATTTTTTCCACAGATTATTGTAGCCCTGGCTATTTTATCACAGCAAGCCTTTGCCACCCATCATAGATACCTTAAAAAGTACACTATTCCATCAACATCATATGGAGTGCCATTTAAAAGAGTACCAGTACCAACAAAATCGTTTTTAAGATCTCCCATCACATATTCACCACCTTTAAAACCTACCATAGAATATGGAGTACCAAAGAAGTCCACAAATGAATATGGCGCCCCATTAAGACCCACAAATGTTTATGCAGTACCAAAGAAGCCTATAATTGAATATGGAGTACCATTAAAGTCCAAAAGCAAATATGAAGTACCTAAAACCCCAAGTTTTGAATATGGGGTACCATTAAAGCCCACAAGTGAATATGAAATCTCATTAAGATCCACAAATGAATATGAAGTACCAAAGAAGCCTGCAATTGAATATGGAGTACCGTTAAATCCCACCAGTGAATATGGAATCCCATTAAGACCCACAAATGTTTATGCAGTACCAAAGAAGCCTATAATTGAATATGGAGTACCATTGAAGCCCACAAGCAAATATGAAGTACCTAAAGCCCCAATTTCTGAATATGGTGTACCATTAAAGCCCACAAGTGAATATGGAATCCCATCAAGACCCACAAATGAATATAAAGTAACAAGGAAGCCTATAATTGAATACGGAGTACCATTGAAGCCCACAAGCAAATATGAAGTACCTAAAAGCCCAAGTTTTGAATATGGTGTACCATTAAAGCCCACAAGTGAATATGGAATCCCATTAAGACCCACAAATGAATATGAAGTACCAAAAAAGCCTATAATTGAATATGGAGTACCATTGAAGCCCACAAGCAAACATGTAGTACCTAAAGCCCCAATTTCTGAATATGGTGTACCATTAAAGCCCACAAGTGAATATGGAATCCCATCAAGACCTACAAATGAATATGAAGTACCAAAGAAGCCTGTAATTGAATATGGAGTACCATTGAAGCCCACAAGCATATATACAGTAGCTAAAGCCCCAAGTTTTGAATATAAAGTACTACTTAAACTCTCAAATAAAAATGTAGTACCATTAAAGTTCCCAAGCGAATATGGAGTACCATTAAAACTCTCAAATGAAAATGGAGTACTATTGAAGCCCACAAGCGAATATGGAGTGCCTAAACCCTCAAGTTCTGAATATGAAGTGCCTAAAGTCCCAAGTTATGAATATGGAGTACCTTCGAAACATGGTGCCGCAATCGTGGTACCACACCAAAAATATGGAGTTCCAGAATGGTAAAATGTTATACTGTATGAAAAAAAATGTAAATAAATATGTATTGTAACTTACGCAGTTTATTACGCTTAGATCCAGTTTAGTACTTCGAATTTTGTCCCAGTTGTACTTGGAATCTTGACAATTTTTGCTTCTGCCATAGCAAAAACATTCCGTGCAACCTTTGGGTTTGTATTTGTTGAGGCCAAAGGTGTGTGGGCTGCATTGGTTGCACTTTTTTCCTGTTACGTACGCCTGGAAGTATTGTTTAATACCAAGTATAACTTTGAATGTGATTCAACTTACTTTACAGTCACAATCGCCGTTTTTATTGCACTGGCATACATCATCGATGCACCTAGAACCTCTGGGATCGCATTTACAGTCGGTGCAATGCTCATTGAACCTGTGGTACCCCACAGTGCAATTTGAACAAGTTAAACCTTCGTAACCTTTGTGACAGGTGCACGCACCTGTAAGAGTATCGCAAGGTTCAGTACTACCTTTGGAATCGCAAGTGCATGGCTGAAAATTTAAAACATAATAATCAATTAAGTTTGAGTATAACACTCTAACACAACGTACTTTGCAACCGAGTCCAGGTTCGTAACCCCAAGAGTCGGTTTTGCACCTTTCACAGTACTGTCCTTCGGTGTTTTCCGGGCAAACGCATTTGCCTGTAAGCTGATCGCAATGGTGTCCAGGTTTCGTACAAGGATCGCAAGCTAAAACGCGTTTACAAGTTCTGAAATGTGTTTTTACGGATTGTGAGGACTATTACTTCGTCACCTTTTGCTTCAAGCGGGCTCATATCAGTGCTGATGAGCACTGATGAGCTCCAATGTGTGGAACACTTGAAGCAAAAGCACTATGACGAGTTAGTAGGCCAGTTCTCATTCTCAAATGTGTTTTTTACATTCTAAATTGTGTTTTACCCAGACAGCACATATATCCATTGGACGTCCAGCGGACGACCATTGTACATCCAAACGTCCAATGTCCATTTGACGCCCAATGGACATCTTGTGCTGTATGGGTACACTCTTTCTTACGTCTGCATTGTGTTGTTATGTTGCCATAATAGTCGTGTTTACACTCGTCACACTTGAAACCCGTCACTCCAGGTTTGCATGGACACTGCCCTGTGTTTTGATTGCAAAACAAATTTAGAGACCCATCCGGGTTACAAAGACACTGTTCGCATAAAAAGTTGCTTTTATTAAGCCAATACTTTTGCTGAAAAAAATTTACAAAAACGTGATTGGAGGTTTAAACATTTAATAAAATAAAAACTTACTTTGCATTTATCGCATTTTTTTCCGTCAAAATTTGTCTTGCAGATGCATTGCCCAGTGGCGTCACAATTGTTGGAGATGGACCCATATCGATCACATTCACAAGCTGTAACAAAACTTTTTTTTAGTATATCTAAAGAACTCGATTCCGTTAAGTAAAGGTTTTATACAGCTTGATAATTAGAAATTTACTGCCCATGAAATATGCAATTAATATTTTTAGTTTGGTATTAAATTAGCCATATGTTTTTACTTAGATATTGTACTTGTCTCGACAAAGGTTATTATGTTTTTGCGTAGTAAAATCTCTTCAGAAAGCAGGTACTTATTCCATAAGAACTTTATTAAATAAAATCCTGTAAAATATGGTAATAAGGCAATAACACTTTTGATACCTTTCAATTTAACAAATTTCACAGCCTCGGGCACCTTTTTAGCATCTAATTTTTGATCAATTCCGAGTAAAATTTAAATATTTTTTACCCACAATTTAACGTATTTTTGCCAGGTTTTCAGAAACATTGCAAATCTCTAAAATGCCTATTATTAGTTGAAACCCGCAGAAAATATTATTTTAGTTGAGCGCTTCTACATACAAATCTGTCACGTTTATAAAGTTTAGAACGTGATAAATATCGAAATTAATACCGTCCCTGAATATAAAACATGTTAACTCCGGCATGTAATGTCTGATAACTTATTAAAATTAATAAAATTGTCATTTTATGCTCTATAAAGTTTTAAGCGGAAGTATAAAGAGTGGCTACATGCCAGGAATATAGTTTTAATTAAAACTAATAAACATTCTGTCAAAAAAATACTTACAACACCTATTATTTCTGAATTGTGTTTTTAACTTAACCGAAACTAAGTCATTAATATGTTTAAAGTTCTAAATTGTGTTTTTAACAATCTAAGTAGTGTTTTTAAGTCATTATTAATATGTCTGTCATTCTAACTTACAAAAATACTTACAAAACCAATTACTTCTAAATTGTGTTTTACATCATAATTTGTGTTTTCAACACTCTGTGTTTTTAAACTTTTTGGGTCATTATTAATGACGTTCTAAATTGTGTTTATGTTTTCTAAATTGGTTTTTACGTTAAAAAATACTTACAAAACCTATTACTTCTAAATTGTGTTTTTACATCCTAATTTGTGTTTTTAACACTCTTTGTTTTTAAACTTTTTGTTCTAAATTGTGTTTTTACACTTTCTAGGTCATTATTAATATGTTTTGGCGTTCTAAATTGTATTTATAATTTATTATTAATATGTTTGTCATTCTTAATTGGTTTTTACGTTCAAAATTGTGTTTATAAGTCATTATTAGTATGTTTTACATTCTTAGTTGTGTTTTTACACTTTTTAGGTCATTATTAATAAGTTTGACATTCTAAATTGTGTTTATAATCCATTAAATATGTTTGCCATTTTAAATTGTTTTTAAGTTCAAAAATTGTGTTTTTATACTCTAAATTTTGTTTATAAGTCATTAATAGTATGTTTTACATTCTAAATTGTTTTAAAAAAGTGTTTTTAACATCCAAAAATGAGTTTGTAAACTTTTTAGGTCATTATTAATATCGTCGTTTATCTGACAAAGAGGCGTATCTCATTTTTAAACAAAACGGTGTGAATTGAATTACGCCAGTTTGTACGGCACACAAAATGCAAAAATATTAGTTACGCCGAAACTGATTTATGCTAAAACTTTATTTGTACCTATTTATTATAGAGCTACGCCAGTTTGTGAGATTATAAAGTCGATTTTGGTGATCATTCTGGTATAACTCAAAAACGATTTTTTTTGAGTTACGCCTCTTTGTCAGATAAACGACGATATGTTTGATGTTCTAAATTGTGTTTTTACATTCTAAATTGTGTTTATGTCATTATTAGTACGTTTTACATTCTAAACTGTTTTCAGGTCCATATTAATATGCTTGACGTTCTAAATTGTATTTTTATATTTTAAATTGTGTTTATAATTTATTACTTTGTTTGTCATTCTAAATTTGGTTTTACGTTCAAAATTGGGTTTTTACACTTTCTAGGTCATTATTAATATGTTTTGGCGTTCTAAATTGTGTTTATAATTTATCCTTAATATGTTTGTCATTCTAAATTGGTTTTTATGTTCAAATTGTGTTTTTAAACTCTATATTGTGTCAATATTAGTATGTTTTACATTCTTAATTGTGTTTTTGCAATTTTTAGGTCATTATTAATTTTTTTGACTTTCTAAATTATGTTTATAATTCATTAAATATGTTTGCCATTTTAAATTGTTTTTTACGTTTAAAAATTGTGTTTTTGTATTCTAAATTGTGTTTATATCATTAATAGTTATATATTATAGTGTTTTTAACATCCAAAAATGAGTTTGTACATTTAAAATTCTTTTCAGGTCGTTATTAATATGCTTGACGTTCTAAATTGTATTTTTATATTTTAAATTGTATTTACAATTTATTATGTTTGTCATTATAAATTTGGATTAACGTTCAAAATTGTGTTTTTACACTTTCTAGGACATTATTAATATGTTTGACATTCTAAATTGTGTTTTTATATATTATATTGTGTTTATAATTCATTAAATATGTTTGTCATTTTAAATTGTTTTTTAAGTTCAAAAATTGTGTTTTTATACTTTATATTTTGTTTATAGGTCATTATTAGTATGTTTAACATTCTAAATTGTGTTTGACATTCTAAAATGTGTTTGACATTCTAAAATGTGTTTTTTACTTTTAAAATTTTGTTTTTATACTCTTAATTGTGTTTATATGTCATTTTTAGTATGTTTTATATTTTTAATTGTTTTTACGTTCTTAATTATGTTTATTAGGTCATTATTATTATGTTTGGTATTCTAAACTAGTTTTCACGTTCACAATTGTATTTATATACTCTAAATTGTGTATAATTAGTTTTTTTGACTTTCTTATTATTTTGGTTTAAAAATAGATACGTAAATTGGTATAAAAAATAGGATAAAAATCTAAAAATGATTTCACCCATTAATTGTGTAGTTAAAGGCAACGCTAATCAGTGTTACTTTTAATACTTTGTGGTCTATAAATAAAATAGTCGTCTAATTAAATCTATTTATTTAAAAGTTCCTATGTAGCACTTCACACTGGTACACACGTGTGTAGCCTGGTATACAAATACACATTTTTTCTTTGAAATTCTCATCAAATGTAACCACATTTTAAAAAATTGCGTAACACGCAAATAACGCGGTTTGGATCTGTCAACGCACTACGCATCTTCGTATGGTTAAAATAAACAGTTTCTTGATTAATAGCTTTCAGAGCCAAATTGCCTGTGCAAGAATAAATAATACTTACCTACTAAATAATTAAGGCCTTCTTTATGCAAAAAGGTAACTACACTGGTATTTTTTTGACATGTTTTGGACTTGGGGTTCGTTAAAGTTAATTGATAATTTTCTTACAATCAACACACAAAAACGTTGAAAATGCAAATTTAGCAAGATCATTTAGCGCTAATTGGGCGCTTAGCACTATAAAATCTACATCTGATTGTATGCACTTGTATGCAAATGTTAGACTTAAGATAACATTTATTAAGTATTTGCTAAGTGTGTTGTGCCTTAAAGAATATAAAACACGGAGTGGCGCTTTACTTAAGTTATAAGTTATGGGGACAGATTTAAAGTTGATCTCCATGTAGTGTATGCTCTAAGGTGTTACATTATCGCAAAGTTTGCGCTATACCTAAAGCCTTTTACAGATCGAATGAATTTATATTGGATTATTTGTTACCCACAGCGTGAAATTGTCCAGAAACAACTATTTTAAAGCGTTTCTTATCCCACGCGTTCAACTTTATTAAATTGAGAGATTTTTCTTTTGGAAACTTTTAACTACCCGCCGGTCAAATCGATACGTAGTAATATAATTTATTGTAATCTTTTTAAGTACGGAAGCGAATATTTTCCCACACCCTCGGGCCAAAGCAATATTTACACACTGCTTGTATTGTTGCCTTAATAATTCAGCGTGAACAAATCAAATTGTTGTCATATCAACAACCTCACACGTCGTATCAAACAGACCTGCGGTGTACCGTTACACCACAAAAATTTACCTACAAATACATACCTAGGTGGTACTTGGCCATATAAAGACTTACCCTTTATGCAAATGCAAACGATTAGAAACTAAATTCTTCACTCTAAAAATGGTGTTACCTCTATTAGGTAGCAATTTGTTTAGATAGCCTTTTCACTTGGAATAACTAAATTATTTAAGTTCATGTCTTCATTTTATAGTGACGAAATGTCTATAAAGCCGATTAAAATGATTTACCAATTATATACCGAAAGTCTCACGTTTTTATTTTTATATTTATATTTATAAAATCACTTTAGTATGCTTTACAATCCAAATGTTCTAAATTGTGTTTTTAACATCCCGAAATTTGTTTTTACACTTTCTACGCCATTATTAATGTTTACGTTCAAAATTGTGTTTTTATACTCTAAATTGTGTTTATAAATCATTATTAGTATGCTTTAAATTAAATTGTGTTTTTTACATTCTTAATTGTGTTTTTAACATTCCGAAATTTGTTTTTACACTTTCTACGTCAATATTAATGTTTGACGTTCTTAAATGTGTTTTTTACATTCTTATTTGGGGTTTGCGTTCAAAATTCAAAAGTCATTATTAGTATGTTTTACATTTTAAAATTTTTTTTATATTCCAACTGGTTTTACTGTATTTTTTACATTCTTAATTGTGTAAACATTTCGATGTGTTTTTACCCTTTCTAGTTCATTTTTAATATGTTTGGCGTTAAAAAAGGTGTTTTTTACATTCTAAATTGGTTTTTACGTTCAAAATTGTGTTTATATACTGTAAATTGTGTTTAGAGGTCATTATTAGTATCTTTTACATTCCAAATAGTTTAACGTTCTACATTGTGTTTTTACATTATAAATTGTGTTTTTAACACCCCGAAATGTGTTTTTACACTTTCTGCGTCATTGTTAATGTTTGACGTTTTACCTTTTTACATTCTAAATTGGTTTTTACGTTCAAAATTGTGTTTTTATACTCTAAATTG